CTCTACATGACTCTGGTGCGCCCGCAATTGGAGTATTGTGTTCAGTTTTGGGCCCCTCATTACAGAAAGGATATAGCCAGGTTGGAGTCAGTGCAGCGTAGGGCCACAAGGTTGGTGGCCGGTTTGCAGGGGATCCCTATGAGGCGAGACTGAGGGAACTGGGTCTCTTCAGCCTGGAGGAAACTCAGAGGGGATATGTTGGCAACATACAGGTATGTGAGGGGATGTCACATGGAGATGGGTAGAGACCTGTTCTCCCCTGCAGAGGAAGGCAGGACACGCTCCAACGGAGCAAACCTCAGGGAGCCAAGGTTCCATTTGGATGCCAGGAAGCACTTCCTGACAGTCAGGACCCCGAGGGTGTGGAATGGGCTTCCACGGGAGGTTGTTGAGGCCCCATTGGTGTGGGTGTTCAAGGATAGGCTGGACGTCCACATGGTGGGCATGTCGTGAGCGGAGCCGGGAGGCCCCTTCTGACTCGCTTTGTTTCTATGTTTGTCTTCTCCCTTTGAACCAGCTGTGTGTGATCTGCACAGTAAGGAGGTTGGTCCCATGCCAGCTTTAGGTGTGCTTCTGAAGTCATCCTTCCACTACTTCCTGCTGTCATGATTTTCCTGGAGGAAAACCCTTTACTGCAGAAAGTAGACTTGTGCAGTTGTTTACTTTCTGTTGCACACTCCTTTGATCTCTGTAAACTCATACTGCATTTGTACAACAGAAAGGTCCCAGTATTAACATTGCTCCCTTTTTGTTGAAATGTTCCCACCAATTCCTCCTAGCCTCTAGATCCCTAAACTATCCTCCCCCATAATGGCCCTTTTTGGGCAGGGCTAGTAGGATTCCACCAACAACTCCTTGAGGTACTTTAGCACTCGCAATCTTCCAAAATTGCTTTTTAGGCTGATTTGCTACCAATATTGCACCAGAGAGAAGAAACAGCAGGCAAGTCCTTGCCACCTTGCTTCTTACAGGATTCCTCTATACAACCATTGTGGAAGTTGGCATATGACACATCTCCGACTCCAGCAAGTCAGAGAGAAGCACTGTATGAAAATGTAGACATACTACTGGAATGAGGCACATTCAAATCTCTGGGCTCTGGAGTACCTACAAAGCACTAGGGATGATACTCTGTTCCCTGGATTTCTGTGCAACAGTCATGAGTGGGGTTCCTCTTGCATACCCACACAGTACAAGGAAGAAACTGAAGCAGTTTAAGGGAATCATGACTCAAGCCCAGGACTCAGCTGCACACCAGATAATTCTATAAAATGCTGACTATCCTGCTCAGTAAGAGGAACGTGACCTGGACATCCAGTTATGCTGCTGGCAGCAGGACACACTCACAAAATCTGGCACTGCCCCCCGAAGACCTGCCTGTCTCCAACAAATGACTCCACCTCCCCATGTCCAAGCCCTTCAAGACATGTAGAACCCTATACCACATCAACCATCAAGTCCACTACACCAAAGCCATGCAGGGCCCCCATCTTGGCACATCCCCCAAAATCCTCTACTTTGAGCTGACAAACGATCCCTCCTCCCCAGCAACCCCCCCTCCCCGCATGATTTCACCAACAACATACTCCTCCAGTACCAGCAGCCCATTGTACTTCTGCTATCCAAAAATAAGCTAGGCTGGCACCCACCCGACATGAACCCAAAGATTTTTAAACAATTAATTTTAATCAGCACCTGACTGAAGAAGAGCACAAGCAAGCACAGCACAATACTGAAGATCAGGACATACTTTTCATGCACTCACTGGAAGAAGTTATGGCACAGCTATCCTTTATTTTCCTTTGGCAGACAAGCCCCTCCACTGGCCATAGGCTGAACAGGTTGAAGGCTGCTCTGTGCTAAATAGCCTCCCATTCCCCACCCCCACCCCGGGGCCTTTGCACTTCAACCCATGGCACCGCATCAAGTGCCTAGGTTCCTTACATAGTATATGTTTGACTACACTTCCTCTACACAATTTTGGATGTGGAAGACCTTGTGCCAGTTGTAGTTGTGGTTTGTTACATCCTGCACAACATCTGCAAGTAAAGGTGGACTTTTCCTTCAGCAGAACTGCAGCCTCCCTGAACCTGGACCTATCAGTGATGGAGTCTGATGGTGGGCAGGAAGTCTGGGAGAACAAAACAAGCAATATGGGCGGATGAAGTCAGCAGTGTAGTAATAAAAGCACATGGGTTTTATCAGGAATTAAAAATATACAGGGGAATGGGTGAAGGAGCTGGCAAAGGCGAAACATGGCCTGAGCATGCAGCAGACCACAGTAAAAGCAGTGCTGATGTAGAAAGAAAGCAAATAATCCTGGGCTGTGGATTCCACTGAACATTGCCTGTGAGATGTGCCGGAGCCAATGGGCAGATGGCAAGGGAAAACCACCCACAGCCAGCCTATCAGTCAGGTGCATCATGGGTTGTTCCACGGCATGACACTAACCCACTGTGGCTCCTTTCCCAGGACAATAGGCTTCCATTCCACGCAGAAGTACCCAGCACCACTGCCTATCCCACACCACTCTCCAAAGCACCACACTGCAGCTGACCTGTGGGGAAGCCATGCTGGTGGCCTTTGTATGGCTCAGCTTCAGCATGCTATGGCCTAGCAGCGGAAAGGGACATGGGTCTCTACAATGCTCGGCTGTGGCATGCCAGCACTCCTGCCAATGCCTCAAGAAATTCTGCTCTGCCTGCACTGATGAGTGCTGTGTGGACAACGGATGACAGCAGCCCAAAGTGCTAACTTCCCAGTGCTTCCCTCGGTATCTCCATGTTACTGCTGAATGACTGAAGGGAGAGGGCTAAGCACCCCCTGCTGCCTGATGGACTCTCAGTTACAGGGAAATTTTATCTGCAGCTCATACACAAAATTCCCAGTGGGTATTAATGTGCCACAGAAGCCTTCCCATTGTGTAGCTTATTTGCAGGATAGCTTACTGTGTCGTGATCTTACCCAATGTGAGGCATGACCTTTCCAAGACAACCGATATTGAGCTCTGGATTTCTTACAATCTTCCTAAAATGGATTACTGCAATAAAACAAAACTGGAATGACTTATATGATTGTTACGAGGATAAATGGAGAAAAGGAGGAATATGAGCTGTCTGGGTTTTTGCAGGAAAAAAGGCAGGATATAATGAATGGATGAAATGAATAATCAATAATTTTATTATAAAAGTAATTCAGAACAACTTTGAAAAAACAGTAACAGATGATACACATTTCAGCTAACATTAAGAAAGCCCTTGGAAATTAATACTCTTGAACTAGCTCCAAAATAAAGTTGTAAGAGTCAACATCAGGCAAATCTGTTCCAGAGCCCATTCCATAAACTCAGTATCACAGCCAAAAAGGCACTTTTCCCAATATTCACACACCTAACCTGCTCCAGAAAATGGCCTCTGTGAATCACAAGAACCTTAATACATGGTTAGTACAGGAAGAGGCAGTGTATATATCTCTAAGCGTGCAACCCTGCCAAATAATATTTGCCTTTGGTCATGTAAAAATACAATTTTTCTGGCTACTTCCACCCTCAGCAGCACTCCTTTCAACTATCCTGTCCCTCTCCTATCCTAGAATCTGAATAAAAGTAAATCCTTGCAGTTCTTACTGGTCGCCAAAAGTTTTAAGACTAGGTTGATTTAAGACTAATTTAAATAGGTTGGTTTTGCATTTGCCTACTCAAAATTAAATCCCATTGAGGCTGGCAACGCTTAGAATTGCAAAGTGACTCCTTATTCATGCTTTCAACTAATTTCCCCATAAAATATACCCCATGTGGTCCTTGATCTTAAAATAGTTTGTTCCAAATATTTGCAGAAAATGACATGAAATGCTTTTGAATCTGAACTAGTGTTTATTAGAAACTCAGCTGGAATCGCAACACCAAGATTTGGCTGCACTAGGAAGAAAGGTTTCACATCTTTGGGAACACTTCAACAATATAAAATGTGAATGTTAATCAGAGACTGCATTGTTTCAAAGATAAAATCTGGCACCTGGACAATTTGACATGAAAAACACAAGATCTCAAAACTTTTAACAACTGAATCTGTGGCACCAGGCACCAACTGTGAAAATCCATTTATACAATTCTGTACCATTAATATCAGTATTATATTTCTATTGTGTTTTTTTAAAGGAAAAAAGACAAAAGGCAGTTTATCTTGCAAATATTAGTTATTAATTAAAATGTCTGTGTATTTAAATATATACTGGCAATAATGGATCAAACATAAGAATAGCAATTTAAAAAGCAGACAGGTAAGCCAACAGCTGCAGTTTGTGGAAATTTCCAGACAAGGCATTTATTGCCAGTTGAGCTGCGCTACTTATGAAATTTGATGGGGTGGTCTAGTTAATGTCTTCTAAACTAAGGGGCGAAGTAGTCCATGGAATCCAGGCCCGGATCCCCGGATCCGGTCGAGGGCAAGGGGCAGTGGACTCTAGAGCAGGCAATTTACACACACGGGAGCTGCAAAAATATTACTTGCTAGGGGGGCAACTTTTCTCCTCTCGTTCGTTAGATCCTGCCTGGCTAAAGCACCAGGATGGGAAGCTGGTATCCTCTAGATTTTATTGGTCTGTAAATCCTATCATCCAGCTAGCACTGGTGAAAGTTGTAGGCCGAAGTATCTAGAGGTCCACAAGTCCCGCCCTCCCCTGCCCCTGCCCTCGCTGTAGAGTCTCAAATTACCTACCTGTACCGCTGTTAATAGCGGGTAATTGATGCGTTTTTTTTTTCTTTAACCCGGTTCAAAAGGCGCTCCGGATAGCGCTAGACAGCGCTGAGGCGGAACGAAGTTCAGTATCACGTGTGAAAGCCGTGCACGTGCTTGTGTGAGTAAAGCCCGCTAAGCGCGTATACGCTAGCCCTTCGGAGTGAATTTAGGCATACAGGAGTGTCTGCCGAGTGCGGAGTCGCTGCAGAAGGCATCGTGTATTCGCTTTCGTTTATACTGGGGCAGGGTTTGCTTTCTTGCGGTGATTACGCGTGAAGCCCCGGCGTTGCCAAGGCGATGCGGCGATGTCCATGTTGGAAGTTACGGTGTGCGAGCCAGCCCGCGGCCCGGGCTTCTTCACGAGACACCTTCTCTCCAGGTGGCCAGTTCAGGATAAGAAGTTAAGGATACGAGCCACGTTCCTTGCGCCCGAAAAATGCTGCGGGAGGAAACTGCCCCCACGGCCAGGCTTTGGCTGCCGAGATTTGGCGCTGGGCCCAGCTCGGCGCTAGGCCTTTGTGTGCAAACCACACCCACAACCTTCTTAACAGTCTGCACAGCACTTGCTGCCGGGGTTGTGCCTTTCCGCGTAGCAGCGACCGCAGCAGCAGGCGGCGGGCTGTTCCTCGTCCAGGCCAGAAGAGGCTGCTGCGTGTCTTAGCAGGAGCAGCTGCTCTGCCCTTGCTCGGCTGGTCGCTCGCGCCCGGCTGGGCGGCCGGGCCGGCGCTCCGTGTGCCGGACGCTCGTCGCCTTCTTGCGCCCACCCACTATGCTTGACTACGACCAGGTCACCGCCTTCCTGGGCGAGTGGGGCCCCTTCCAGCGCCTCATCTTCTTCCTGCTCAGCGCCAGCATCATCCCCAATGGCTTCAGTGGACTTTCCGCCGTCTTCTTGGCCGGCACCCCCGAGCACCGTTGCCGGGTGCCGGCCAGCGCCAACTTGAGCGCCGAGTGGCTCAACGCCAGTATCCCGCTGGAGGTGCGCGACGGGCGGCAGGTGCCCAGCCGCTGCCGCCGCTACCGCCTCGAGGCCCTGCTCAACTTCTCTGCCGCCGGCCTGCAGCCCGGCCGCGACGTCAACCTCAGCCAGGTGGAGCAGGAGAAGTGCCTGGACGGCTGGGAGTACAGCCAAGACCCCTACCTCTCCACCATCGTCAGCGAGGTAGGGCGAGGAAGCCGAGCACGTGCCTTTATTGCTGCCTCCGGGTGGCCTAGCTTGAGTGAGGTTATACACCCAAGTTCAAATCCTCTTTGAGCCTTGTCCTTGAGCCAACCCCTGCCATTCAACCGAGCCTACCTCACAAGGTTAGGGAGGCAGCCTTGCATTCCCTAGAGCAGCCTACCCCACCGTGGCGCCCTCTGGAACGTTTGGGCTCTAACTAACAAGATTTCTGCCCTTGAGCCATGCTAGATGGAAAATCAACATCCTTTCTCAATCTGGAGGTCATCGGATTGAGGTAGGATGGGATAAAAATGCAATGGTACATGCATGTAATGCATTATCTAAAGCCAGCACTACCTAAGAGAAAAGTTATCATAGAATTGCTGTATGATGTATGACTGCTGTGTGATGAATTGCCTTTAGTTACACCAGCCTTATCACTTTCTTATTCTCCTATCAACTACAGATCTGACTGATATCTTCCCTTGATTATTTGATTTATATCCTGCTTTTTATTTTACTTTTTTTTAAAGAACTCAAATCAGTTTACATCATTCTCCTGCTCCTAATCTCAAATTCACCTGCACAACAACCCTGTTAGGAAGGTTGGGCTGAGCTGCTGCAACTGTTCCAAGTTTATACCCATGTTCAGAGTCAGGCTGCTTTTGCGTTCATCCCTTCCCACTGGATTATTTTTAAATAAGTTGTCCATTTCTTGGGACAAAGCTTTTTATAAGCCAGTTGTTTAGTCTTACCCCACATTTATTAAGAGAGCTAGTGTAGCATACTTGTGGGAATGCTGGAGTCCCCACTTGGCCATGAAGCTTGCTGGGTGATTTTGGGCTAGTCAGACTCTCAGCTCAACCTACTTCAGTGTTGTAAGGATTTTATTTATTTCAAGGTTTTATACAGTGTTCTATAGCAAATGCTTTCAGAATGGTTTACAGCATAAAGCACATTAATAACAATAATATCCATAGTAATTTTAATTTCGGAGAAACCACAATTAACAAGGAAGATAAAATAATAATGCACAACACAGAATACTAATCCACTGCAACCATTCAGTCCTAATCTGAATAAAAACCATGTATTCAACAGTTCAAATGACAGGAGAATAAAAAGTGTTTGAGGATTAAATGGAAGTTTGTAAAATGTCTTGGATTTCTCATAAGAAGAAAAAGGTCAGGATATAAACACAGTGTAATAATATTATTAAATTCTCAGGCCTCCTTTAGTAGCTGACACCTTCCTGAGCACCTTTCCTTTATCCTAGTTCCTGCCCTATGTACCTATCTGAGGGAGCCAGTATAACTATCTATTCCTGTGGTATGAAATATATCATTTATGACAAGTAATTCCTGTTTTATGTATACAGTGTATGTAGTAGTGGGAGGGATAGCCTAGGTATCACAGAAAGGATGAAATTGCAAGTTGGCAAGGTCCGGCCTCATATATAAAGGCAGATTTCTTTCATTCCCCTTTCATTTTTCTGTTAACTTGTTCTGTTTTGGTAGACCTGCAAGTTGTTGTTGTGTTGCATTACATTTCTGTACTGCCCATAGCCAAAGCTCTCTGGGCAGTTCAAAACATTCAAGACACCATTTCAGATTTCAAGCAGGCCCAACCCTGGTTAGCTTCCAAGATTAGGTAGGATCAGGTACTTCTGGTTAAACAGAAGCTTTTTTTGACAAGCTTCTGTTGTCAAAAAAACTTTAGATGAGCAGAAAAGAGAGAGATTTCTGAAAGCAAAATTCTCCAGCAATGCCATCTTTCTGTAGGACAGTATTCATGGATGGTGGTGATCCAGCTAGTCTGTTTTAAAGTTTTAGGGCAATCTAAGCCATGCATTTGTATACAGAATACTTTTCTTTTTTCACTGGCTAGCAAACAGAAATGAGTCCCATGGAATGATTCCAGTTGGCATAAGAACATTCAGAGAATTGTGCTAGATTGGGCAAAAGGCCTGCCTAATCCAGCATTCTTTTTCCGCAATGGTTAACCATCCTGTGGAAGCCCATGAGGAGGACAAGAGTCCAATAATACCCTTCTGCTTGTGTTCCTCCCTAATGGGTATACTGAGGCATACCTCCCTTCTTCTGATACGTTTTTGTAAGTTCTTTTTAAATAATTGTTGCATTTTCACATGCTGACTTATGAACTATGAACTGTGAATTGCCTTAGCCTGTCATATAACAAAATCTAAGGTTGCAAAGACTGCTTCTCATGTGATAGGAAAGTGATGGCCACTGATTTCATTTATTGGGTTTGTTTGGGTGTTGCAGGTGAGTTTGAGGCTGCTAGTAAATATATACTAGAGACAGTAGAGTTGAATATTAATCTAAGTATTTCCCTTGCATATGTTTTCAACCCTGCTTGAAGTTTGGTTGTTTCTCCTTCCTAATGTAATGGATTAAAGCCATTAAATGTATTCATTTATATGTGGAATACTACCTATTAACAGTAGGTTCTTTTAGTGGCATACAGAAAAAGGAAACCATTACTTATATATAACCCAAGCAGCAACAGTAGTGCCCAAGATCTAAAACAGACCAAAATGAAAAAGCCTGAGAAAAATTGATCATGGTGATGCTAAAAAGAACAGGGCATAGGTATTGATGAGGCTGTCCGAGGAAGGCACCCCACAACTGTGGAGCCACTACTGAAACTTTGAAATATCAGATACTTGGTAGACACCTGAAGGGCTACTGAAAATGAGCTTAGAGTCCAAAATAGACCTTTATTTTAATTCATTAAAAGCACAGTCCTGTGTATATTTACACAGAGAAAAGTCCTACAACTTCCAGAATTCCCCAGCCAGCCATATTGAGCTGAAGGACTTTTTTCCCATTCTGATTGCACCCTAACTGCATTTCCATTCATTAACTAGTGAAGCCACCCACATATCTATCTATCCTTGCTATTCCACTTAAGCATTTTAAGTGTTTCATTTATTCTCAGTAGTACCCATCTAAGTTGTTTGTATTTATAATAGTTTAGTAGACATATCTATGCATTTTATTAATGTATGTACTGTTTTCCTTCCATTGAACTTAAAAGAACCTATATTTCAAAGTTCTCCCCAAAGGTGAACTGATGATTCATCCCTGGGTTTATTACATGCTTGGGTAGCAGTATTCAGGTTAAAAAGAAAACTGCTGGATCCTAATAAGATGTTGGAGGAAAGGCCCAGTGTGTTCAGGGAGTGTCCAGTATTGCTGCAGTGGTAGCAAAAGGAAAGCCAGCTGTATTCAGTGGCGCACCAATGTGGAGTATTCAACAGTGTCATGGAACTAGCCCAAATTAGTTCTTCTGGAATAGGACAAGTGGCTAAACTAGAAGCAGTTGCAGCAAGCTCACTTCTCCCTCCCCACCAGAAAAAGTTCCTGACTATGGCTGACAGTTTTCCACAGCAGGGCAGAAGAAGAACGGGAAAAGAGCATTCAGACCCTCCATCATCCAGAGGGACAAGAGCCTCATTCAGGCAATAACGTCAGCAAGGGAGGGTCGTCTCCAAGCGCATTTATATGCATACAGCATGCTGCCTGCTGGACTCGAAAAGCTGCACTCCCTCCTCTTCCTTTTCTCTCTCTTTCCTTTGCTTTGCTTTATTTTACTGTTGTACTCTAGCCCCCCACAGCCAACATTGTCTGGGCAATTCACAGAAATATGCAATAAAACGTAACATAAAATTTTCAGTATTTTTAAATAAAAAGGTAAAATTGTTATACAAATATTTAAACCTGATATTAAATGGCTGTATATCTTGCCATTTTAGTGTGCAGGGCTTGTCTCTTTTTTATTAATGGTTTGAGATGTGGGAGTTGGCAATTGTTTATAAAACATGATAAATAGGTAAATAAATAAACATAGTAATCAATAGCCTAATAGATAGTGTCAGTACATTTCTTGACCACTTTATGGAAAATTACATATAAGGAGCAGAGGCAGTAGAACTGACAGGTTACCTCCTTGTATTCTGTCTTGTTTTTATTAAGTAATTTTATTTCACCTTTATTACATAATCCCCATGGTTCTTCTGTACCAAATTTCACTATCAGTAGTTTGAAAAGGATTTTTAGAAAGAAAGTTCCAGTGCATGTCATTCACTGCAGTTGTTAACTATTTCCATGGTTTGGGTTCCATTATCCCAGAGTGAGATAAAGCTATTCAGACACTCTCTTGTATGCCTATTCACTTGACAATAAACTCTAAGACTCTTGCAGGAATGTACTTGAAAGTGAGTATGCTAACAAAACAGTATAGGTTTGTGCGGCATTTTGAGTTGGTGGTTTTTTACACAATCGTACAACCTGGAATGGGCCTAGGGTCTTCCTAATTCACCAGCCTTCTTCCTTGCACCCTCTTCCTAACTCTGATTACTATGAGCCACAATCAGAAAGCAGGCACTCAATAGGAAGGATAAAAAAAATTCAGTTCAGAACTGTCACGAATCTGAAGGTTGTTCCAGAGCCAGGGTGCTGTGGTGGTTGGAGTGTTGGATTGGAGTCCCAGGAGATCCAGGTTCTAGTCCTTACTAGGCCATGAGGTTCACTGGGTGACTCTGTGCTAGTCACAAACTCTCAGTCCAACCTACCTCACAGAGTTCTTGTTATTAGGATAAAATGGAGCTACCTCCTGTTTCTCAAAAGAAGAAAAAAGGCAAAATATAATAATCATAATCATAGGGTAATTGAAATTGAAACCTGCAGAATTGTTTGCTTCTTTGTTAAACTCTCACTGTCCTAATTGTGGTAAGCACCTCATCCTAGGCCGATCAGAATGCATAGAGGTCAGTGGGATTTAATGGGAAATGTATAGAGGTCAGAGCCATTTCATGGGAAATCATTACATTTTTCAATATAGCTTAAAAAGTTGTGTGTTCAGAATATTTCTTTGTTGCACTGGTTCTAACCTAGGAATAGGCAACCTTTTCAGCCCCATTGCAATTTATCATACTATTTTCAGACCTGAGAATACATTTGTCCTGCAGGCAATTG